GGCTGCTGCCTCCACCGGGGACCCGGCTGGGGCTGCTCACGCAGGACCTGTTTGACACCGAAGCTGGGACAGCGAGGCACCCAGCGGCGCAGTCTGCAGGTCCTGGGATGTAAGCAGGCTCCAGGAAAAGATGCGGTTTTAGAGATAAAGCTGCATTTCATACAACACAAACCGCAGTCTTCAGATCTTCACTTATGATGGAAAAAACCTCTCAACCCTTAAGACCAACCTGCTTTCAGTATACAGAAGTTTCCGGTTTTCCCTTTGAATGAATTTTTGTTGAAGAAACCTTTTTAGTATTTTACATTTTATACTATAGCCACATTTTAACATCCAAAATAAAGCATTCTGGGCAGCCCATAGGGACTTTTCGTTGACATTTCCCTGGCAACAAATGAGGATTTTTCCACACTCAATCTTTCTTCCAGAACAAACCTGCCTTTCTCTAATTCAGAGCTCTACCTTCCCCCCCCCCCCAGGGAAAGTGCTCTAAAAATCTGCATGGTCAAGGAACACGAGTCCTACCGATGCAAAGCGGCGGTGGGTAATTCCAGCGGCGGACGGTGCCTGGCATGCAGGAGATGTGAGAGTGGCCCTGGAGGAGAGGGAAACAAGACACGAGGGGTTGGGGTATGTCCCTGTATCCGGGTGCTTGTTCTTGTCCTTTTTGACAGTAGATGTTCCGTACCTGGAGCGCGTAGCCTGGTTCACACTGGAAAGAGACGACGTCGTTCACTAAGTAGCGCTCGCCGATCTTCAGGCCGTTCCCAGGAACGGGGGGCTCTGGGCAGCTGGACAGACCGACGGCTGCGAAGGCAAGAGCGAGGTGAGTGCTCCAGGGAGTGGGGCTGGGGTCTGCACTGGAGGCAGAAGCAATGGAAACACACACCTTCATCTTATCCCAGTCCCTTGTTTAGCAACAACCTCCACCATGGACACTGGTGGGAAAGTCCCACGGCCTCTGGGCTCTCTGCAGACAGCCCTGCTCACACGGCATTCCCCCGCGTTACAGGCTACGTCCAGCAGCCAGAGATATTCATACTGAGTGCTTTCACTCTACCTGGATCACACTTTTTCTCATATACAAAGGTATCACGGATCTCCTTCTCTGGAGATATTCCAGACCCACCTGGACAAGGTCCTCTGCAGCCTGCTGTAGGTGACCCTGCTTCAGCGGGAGGGTTGGACTAGATGAACCACCGAGGTCCCTTCCAACCCCTACCATTCTGTGATTCTGTGATCATGCCACGAACCCTCCCCACGCGAGGTCTGTATTCCTGCTATGCCATACGCTCCTGCACCAGCCGGAAGATTGGCGAGGATCGCTCTTCCTCACTGGCACTACCAAGAGCACACGGGACGTGTTGCATGCAGTTTGTCCCTTTCTGGGCAGAAGCAGCATGGTTTCATTCTCCGACCCTATTCTTCCTGTTTTCAATTACAGACTGAATTTACCACGAGACAGAAGCAGCAGTAAGTGCGGCCGGCCCTTCACGGTCCTTCCTGCAGAACAGCCCACGAAAATTCCATTCAATCCCATTTCCACCTGAGCTGCATTTACCGCTGGGAATTATCCTGCTGCAAACCTGATTAACAACGCGCGGTGACGCGCTCTGCGTTAGACGCGTGCCACCCCCTCTTCCTTCCGCGCCACCGAAGGGACACAAACCAAAGACGGGCGTCTGCAGTCCCCTCGCACCCAGCACGGCTCAGCCGCCTGCCAGCACCTCCCTCGCTCCCCGTGCCGGCCGAGATAACCTTCGGCATCGCTGCAAGGGCTCGTGCTCCGCTTCAACCCTGCGGGCCGCTGGCGGAGCCGAAAGGAGAGGAAAATGAGGAATGAGAGAGGAGATGCCGACTCTCCTCCTGAAACCCGAGGCACGCCTCCCAGCAAGCAAGCGTCCCTCCCCGCACGCGGCCGTACTGCTCGACCTTCAGAGAGACAAGGGAGAAAATAGCTTTAAACAACCTCCCGTTCAGACCAGCGGGCACCGAGTTGCACTCAGCCCTCAATTCCTCTTGCTTTGCTTTTTGAGCATGTGGAGATAAGAGCTTTGCTTGAGGAATCCAGTGAGGGAGAAAGAAGGGGAGGAAATAAACTCTGGTGTTTTAGCTCATCTCTCCAAACTTCCTTGCAGCACCTCTAATCAAACAAAGGCAAAACCCGGGGCTCAGAGCCGTGAAATTCCAATTGTACAAGCAAAGCAAAAAATATATTATTTCCAGCTGCCCTGAAAATCAACACCTATTAATTTTCTCAGCAGAGAAACCAAACAAGCCTGATAATCCCGAGCCTCATGAAAATCCTGAACATGATTGTTGCAGTGGGGTAATGCAATCCTCAAAGAACTTATTGATTGAAAGAGAAATGGAAAAGAACCAGAGTCACAGCAAGAGAATTTCTGAAACAACATCCATCTCTCCAGCTCCCAGAGAGCAATCTGGGGCACACTTTGTCTCCCCAGTCTTCCTGGTTGCTGTAATCTTGCTGGATCCATCAATATGCAAGGTGTCAATCAGCAAACCCAGTAAAACCTGGAAAGCTCAGTACTTGCTGGCCCTCTAAAAGCACACAGTCTCTGCCGCCGTTTCTGCGGATGTTCTACAAAATGAAACACACTTTTAAATCTATTTGCTGCTTTGGAAAAAAAAAACAGAACGTTGACTGGCTTCAGAGACAAACACAGATCTGGGGATCAGAACCAGTCGTCAGACACGGTCTCCAACAGGAAACAGTTCTGTTTGCACCGCCCCAAGGAAGACTGCGCGAGCGGAGACAGCAGTCCCAGCACATCCCTGCTCAGCTCACCGTCACGGCTGCCGACGCCGCAACAGAGCCAGACCATCACCACGCATTAACCAGTCCCCCGAGAGCTGCCCAGGGACCAGCCTGGCTGCTGGCCCTGCCGCACCCGCACCGTTGGCACACCGCAAGCGCACGAGCCTGCCTGCTTTCCTGCCTGCCTGCTAAACATTCAGTTTAGATGTGCTGAACAGCGCTGAGAGCTGCCACTCTGCACCTGCTTCTACGCTGCCTGTGCTGCTGCTGGACTAAGCGTGAATAATTTACGCCCTCGGTGCAGCACCATCGGCGAGATAACGGCCACCATCGCTGCGACCCGCTGCAGCCTGGCTGTAGCACACCTTTCCAAATAAGACAGCTGCCCAGTCGCAGGAATCAAAGCAGACATGGGGGAGAATGAATTTTTGGCATCCTTACCCAAATCTGACAGCCCTTTCCCAAGAGAGTCTCTTCCCTGCCATGTCTTCCAGTTTTAGGTTTGTTCTCTTACCACTGAGGATTTCTTTTTCTAAATACTGTCTCTGTGTACCCTCATATCTAACAATGTTCTTGCATCTGGATATCCAAGAACTGAATGCAGTCTTGCATGAGACCTGTCAGAAGCAGCAGCTAAAAATAGCACTAGCACCTAAAATACTGTACCCAGTTTTGCACCCCACAGTGTAAGAACAACATTGCTAACGTGGGGAGAGTCCAGCAGAGGAGCCCCAGGACCTTCAGGGGCTGTAGCACTCATCTGGTGATGAAAGGCTGCCCAGAGCGTTTGTGCAGTCTCCATCCTTGGAGTTTTTTGAGCACAGACTGCATAAAAATGTGTAAAGTAATTAATTTAGTTTTATCTCACCTCTGACCCTGCTTTCAGCAGGAAAATGTTTTGAGCAGGAGTTTTGATGAGATGACAGCCTCTGAGGTCCCCTCCAACCTGAATTACCCTGGGAAGATCTTTCTAGCCCTGCGTGCTGTTTCCAGCAATGCCCAACACTGAACCTAGGAAAGCCTGCAAAGAACAGGCCGTCCCTCCCAGCCCCTGGCAAGCATCATCGCAGGCACTTCCCAAGCAAAGACTACAGCACTCTGTTGAACAGGCCAGCTCTCCATGAATTTTTAATACTTTGGCCTCCAAACTCCTCCCGTGCTCCAACACAGACACCGAACAGGTGCTCCGCAGCGCATCGGCAGCCAGACGAGGACCACCCCGCGACCCCGCGTCTCCTCTGCTGCATCTGCTCCCCCTTTAACGCTCACTCCCTCTGCAGCCTGAGCACAGGGAACCAGGTGTGTGCAGGCTTTAAAGCTCGCTGCCCCTTCCCCACTACGCAGCTGGATCCAGCTCCCCATCACTCAGAGGAATGGCGAGATCAAGGCTGAATTGCTCTTACTTTTGTATTCCAGGTGAAAGCCGGCAGCGGAGACGCTGATATCCGAATAGAAATGCAGATAGAGCTGGTTTGAAGTGCTGTTCAGCAACGCAGGCACTGTAGTTCCTGGGAAAACAAGAGGTGCACAAAGATACTGGAGAGGATTCTTTTTTCCTCCTCCGTGTCCTCGGAGACCAGCTACAGAAGAGGCTGAGAACAGAAAGTCCTTTAACTTCACAAGCTTGGTTGGTTTTGATCAGGTTCTAATGAGGCCAATTGAGAAATACCCAAGGCCTCTCTGCAATGGCCTTTTCAAAGCCTACTGATGAATTCCATCATGTGAAGCTTTACCACTTACAGACCAGACAGACTAAAAGCATCGAGAAGGGAACTGGTGATGAGAAACAGCGTGGGTGGAGCGTAGGTCCCCCGCAAGGTCCGGATTCCTTCTCCTGCCTCCTTCCCTAGAAGCTGTTGCAGCAGCAGGTCAGGGCAGCTGTACCCGACACGCAGCCCTGGCAGCCCCAGAGTCTGCTGGTCTTTCTGCATGACCCTTCTCCTTACCAACCTCAAAGCACTCTGAACACATTTGTGCATTAAATAAGCAAGAATTGGGGCCATCGGTTTGCAAGCAGCTCTGCTATTTGCAAGTTTTATGATGGCCTCGGGCTGCTTGCTACTCCCTGCTCTGCGAAAAGCCATGGTCCCCACCGCTGAGCAGAAGCAAGGTGGTTTTGCAGCCCTCCATCCATTTTGGCGCAGATCAGCCAGGTTAAGGTTAACCCGCGGTCTGAGCTGACCCCGCATAACCCCGCAGCACTGCGGGAACTCCTGCTTCCAGGCTGCGGAAGCGCTCATGGGTTTTTCCAAAAAACCCAAACCCAACCCACTGGCTTTGTGTTTAAGGCTCTCTATGAATACCTTCTGTAGGAAGACAGTAGTCACATTCCCAATCCAACACAGCATGTGATTCCCTTTAAGCACATACTTAAATCCATTCCTAGGTTTTGAAGCACTTCAGCATATGCTTCATTTTCTGTGTGTGCTGAAGCCCAGCTGACGTGGGCAGGAATTAAGCACGCGCTGATGGGCTCCACTGACCGTACCAGAGAAACTTCCCAGCATGGTGGCTGTGTTATCTCCTCCGTCAAACACTTCCAGGGAATCCCAGTTCTGCTCGGTCACAAAACTGATCACCTGGATCTGAAGAGAAAAAAGAAAAAAGCAACAGTACAACTCCTGCAATCATGCTAATACACCAAAACAACATCAAGGAAGGGCCACTAATACAGTTAGCAACACAGCCCGGGCTTTACGTCAGCACTGCCAAAGCCTGGAGACCTCCTGCCGCTCACTGCCACCTCCGGGGTTACAGGGCTGTTTTCCAGCAACCTCCACGCTCCAAACTTCCATATCCGGGGTGCTGCCTCCTGCGGCTACGAAGGGAGAGCTCCTGGGACTTCGCAGCTAACTTGCAGCAGCTCAGAATCTGAGCCATTTTTTCCTGGTTTGAGAAATCCCTGAAGACTTTTGCAACACTTTCAAATGAAAGCAACCACTAGCGAGCCAAGAGCTAAAATAAAAACAAACCCTCATTAAGCCACAAAACTTTTTAATCCAATGAAGTTTCTGCAAGTGCCTTGGTTTCTCATCTTTTAGTCAAATCACTCAAATTGTGTTTTCAGGTTTCCCACCTTTCTCTGCCAAGCCCCATAAGGTTTGGAGGCTTCAGGAGGTCACTTGACTCCATTACTTAGAACGCCAATGAATCCTCAAACGAGTCACATCACGAGATCTGATAAATCTGTTCTGACGCTGGAAAGCAGCTCTTATACTTGAGCGAAGACCTACACGTAATTGCACAGATTTGTTTTCCTTGATTGCCATTAAAATGGATTCTGCCTTTATTCCTAACTACCGGGAGTTCAGGGTGTTCCACGCACCATTAAGAAAAAGTCGCTGTGCTGCACGTCAGGTTCGGTGAGCAGCTGAGTGACAGCAAACCTGAGAGGCAGCCACCAGCATCTCCAAAAACCAGCTTTCACCCATACGCGCTAGGTGAAACTTTCAGACGCTGGGTAGCCCAGATTAAACCTCTAGGCCAGCAGCCTGAACGAAAACGACCCTTAAAGACACATCAGGAGCATCAGTGGACTTGCACAAGCTGGCCCCAAACAAAAGGTTTCATTTCTTGGCGTGGGCTGTTCGGCACCGCTGCCGGTGGGTTTGGGAGAACGCCGTACCTGCAGGAACCGGAGCAGGCAGATTCACAGAATCACAGAATCACAGAATAGTAGGGGTTGGAAGGGACCTCTGTGGGTCATCTAGTCCAACCCCCCTGCTGAAGCAGGGTCACCTACAGCAGGCTGCACAGGACCTTGTCCAGGCGGG